GATCAATGGAAAACAGTGGAAGGAATATTTCAAGATCGAGGTCATTTGGTGAATTATCAGCAACAGAGCAAAAGACAACTTCCGAAAACATTGACGGAGGAATCAAACTGACTCCGAACTCAGGAATTCTTGGTATACAGTCACCCTCTTTTCAAATTGGTGCCCAGTACAACGAGAAGACGGCCTAGCCGTAAAGGGAAAGACTGAAATGCGAACATGTCGCCATTTCATCCCCATTAATTGAAACCTGGTTAAATCATTTTGTTGATCAAACCATTTAACATTGACTTTAATGACTATCATGGTGGCTCATCTTTACCCAAAATCAATAAGTGCTAGCAGCGCTATCCCCTTTCGCAGAAATCAAGGTCTAATTAAATTAATCTAATGAATCGATGACTCTTCAGAAGACTGCTCGGCATTCCTGAAAATAACATTAAATCTCTGTGATGCTAACATTAATCCAATACACATTTTGTGTATGTAATTTTGATACCATTATTCAATAACGGAATCAATGCATTTGCCTCAAAGTTTATTTAATTTTAACCCTAAATTAGTGTATATTTGGTGCATAACAATTTGATATAACCTTGTGTTAATTTCAGTTTGAAAAATCTATCTGGTGAATGATATTTTTAATTTCATAGAAGCGAATTTTATAGAATTATTTTATAGCTCACTCGACTGTAAAAAGTTGCATCTAAACGTAGTAGACTAAAGTTTCACCTAAATATACATTAAACCTAGCTTATAAAATTAAAGTTCTTACCTCAGTGCTTTTTTCAATCAACCCGGAAAACTTATATAAAGAGGCGTAATGTGACTTACCTAAAATGGTGTCATTATTAGGCATGATATTTTCAATGATCATTTCTTGCTTTTTTTAGTTGCTTAATTTCAGTTATCAAAGTTATGAGATTGAATGAATTATTGTTTACCTAATGTAAATAATTTGAACAAATGAGACGGAAAGAGATTATTAGAGAGATACAAAACAGTCGGGACTGAAAAAAATAAAGCTCTATACTGACCTAAATTTATACTCTGAGTCAAGCTGAGGAAAGGTTGAAGACACTGTCAGGCCCTCGCATTCATTCATGAAGATACTGCTAGATCAAAGTGCAATTAAACACATGAATCATCTGTAAAAGGAAAGAGGCAAAGTGAGAATGTTACATGATGACAGTTTCCGGTCGACAATGACAGTTCTCACCCACTCCAGCAAGACGACGACATTCTGACGACGAGCTGAAACATAGATCAAGCGCAGCAACTGTGTCTACTCAGAGTTTCTACTTGTTTCAATTGGATATCAGATTTGGTTTCAAGAATGCAAGGTGGCGCATTTTTTGATCTTGCAAGTTTTTATTGAGGAGTCTTACGTCCGTTTGAAGATAACTTGTTTACTTTTTCCAATGATTATATAGACAAGGAGAAACGTTTAAACTGAAGGGTTTCCCAAGCTTAAGCAAGATTTTTGATCTTCCAATTTTTTTTGCATGTCGCAGAAATACTGTTAAAATGTTTTTCGCTTGTTTATGGATAGCTGGATTGCTTCCAAAGATTATTAAGACAAGAAACGTCCGTTTGAACCAATAGTGAGTGTAAAATTTCCCAAAACGGCGGAATTTCTGATCTTGCAAATTTTTTAACGAGTCGCTTGATTACTGTTGAGGCTGTCACTTCCGTTTACGGATGGCTTGTTTGTTTTCATTGATGATTAAGACAAAGAAAGTCAATTTAAGCCAATGGTGGTTCTAAGACTTTGCAAAATTTTGAAACTTCTGGACAAATGTTTAAACCGATTGTGGGTCTATGATTTAGCAAGGTGGCAGATTTTTTGATCTTGCGAAACTTTTTGCGAACGCAGAAATACTGTTAAAGGCTGTTTCGCCTGATTTTTGATAAACTGTTTGGTTCCAATTATTGCTAAAACAAAGAAAGCCTGTTCGAATTGATGTTGAGTCCAAGGTTTTTTAACGTGACGGATTTTTGTTGTAGTGATTTTTTTGCAAGTCACACAGTTACTGTTAAAATTCTTTTAATAAAGTTCTTGTTTATAGATAGTTTGATTGTTTCCAAAATTTGCTAAGACAAGAACAAGTGCATTTGAATTTTGTTGGGTCTAGTTGGATTTTGTAATTTCGCGAATTTTTGTTGCGAGTCGCTGAGTTGCTATTAATAGCTTATGCGTCCGTTTACGGATAGCTTGTTAATTTACAAAGGTTGTTAAATCAAGTATAATTCCATTTAAAATCAATGGTTGTGTAAAAATTAGCGAAACGGCGGAATAATTGTTCGTGCAATTTTTCTGCGAGTCGCAGAATTACTGTTAAAAAATTTTACGCCCGTTTATGCATAGCTTGATTGTTTTCAAATATTATTAAAAGCAGAAAGCCCGCTTGAACAATAGCGGGTGTAAATTTTTTCAAGGTGGCTGACTTTTGATCTTTCAAGTTTTTGCGAGGCGCAGAGATACTATCAAACACTGATTCGCCTGGTTAAAGATAACTTGTTTGAATCCAATTTTTGCTAAGGCAAAAAAATCCGCTTGAGTTGATGTTGAGTCTAGTGTTTTTGCAAGGTTGCGATTTTTTGATCTTGCGACTTTTTTTCGTCTCGCACTTTTTATGTTAAAAGCTCTTAAGTCTGTTATGAAAAGCTTGTCTGCTTCCACAGATAATTGAGACGTGAAAAATTCCGTTTGAGTTGTTGGTGGGTCTAGCCTTTTCGCTAGGCGGCGAATTTTTTGATTTGCGAATTTTTCTTGGAGTCGCAGAATTTTTGTAAAGGCTATCACTTCCCTTTATGGTTAGTTTGGTTGTTTTCAGTGATTATTAGGACAAGAAAAGTTCGTTTAAGCCCATGGTGGGTCTAAAATTTTGCAATGTGGCTTTTTTTATCTGCGAAACTCTCTACGAGTCGCAGATAAATTGCAATGAGCTGCTACGATTGTCTATGGATAATTTGTTTTTTTCCATTGATTATTGAGGCAAGGAAAACCTCTTTGAATTGATAGTTGGTGTAAGATGTTGCAAGGTGGCGATTTTTTTTGACCTTGTATTGTTTTCTGCGATTCGCACAATGTTTTTTTTTCACGGCTGTCGCTTCCGTTCATTGATGACTTGTTTGTTTCGTATTTCTATTAACACAAGGAAAGACCGTTCAAACCAATGATGAGTCTAAGGTTTTGCTAAGTGGTACTTTTTTCAATCTTGCGAAATTTTTTGCGGGTTTCAGACATTTTATTTAAAGCTATCACTTCCGGTTATAAGGATTTTTGCAAGGTGGCGGTTTCTTTGATCTTGCAAATGTTTTTGAGTCGCATAGATACTGTTAAAAATTGCTTCACCTGTTTATGGTTAACTTGTTTGTTTCCACGTATTGCTAAGACAAAAAAAGTTCTTTTAAATTGATGTTGACTGAAATGATTTTGCAAGAGGGTGTTGTTTTATCTGGAAATTTCTCTTGCTTTGTTTATTTCCGATAAATGTTAGAACAAAGAAAATTCGTTTAAAACAAGGTGGGTCTAAGGTTTTGCAAGGTGGTGTGATCTTTGCAAGGTAATCTTTTCAATTACTACCTCGAAATGAAAAACGTGATTTTTTTTTAATCGAATAGTCCTCATTTAAACAGGGGTAGTGTGTTCTGCAGATACTGAGACTCAGCAACAAGTTTACAATTTCTGCTTGATAATAGGTTAACTAGTATCGCTCAGCCATGAGCATACAAATCGGGTTTTTAAAATCAATGATTGAACGCAATGTTTCAGTGAGACTTATAGGGCACAGTGGTTAACAAAAGGTGCAAGAAAGAAAGTTTAAGCAAAAAGAATGAATGTCCTGGACGTTTTGTTTTTAAATCTAATTTTTGGATTAATGTTAGCTTAGATGTTTGTTTAGACTAAGGGCAATTTTCTAGAAAAGTCATCTCAAAATTTTTGATCACAAGTTAGGTCAGCGCAAGGCAACGAGAGGCAGGGCAGAGCAACGCAAGGCGATGCAAGGTATCGCAATGAGGGATAGGGCAAAGCAGCGAAGCACAATGCAAGACTCAGCTGCGTAAAAAGGCATGGCAGCGCACGGCAAGACATGTTAGTGCAAGGCAAAAAAAAGGAATGGCAGAGCAAGGCAAGGTAGGGCGATGCAAGGCAAGACAGGGCAGGGACGTGTAAGGCAAGGCAGGGCAGATCAAGAGAAAGAGGCGCAGGGCAGCTCAATGCAATAGTAGGCGGCACAAGACAAGTTGGGGTAGGGCAAAGTAGAACAGTGCAAGCCAGAGCAGCGCGAAATAAGGCATGTCAACGCAGGGCATAGCAGCAACAGATTGCTCTGAAGCTTTGAGAGACATACATCGACTACTTTTATAAAACGGGAGGCTGTACTTGCGTGTAGAGATATATAATTGAATTTATCTTGAAACTAAATATTTTTGTATTTGTCTATGTAAATACTAAATATTTATGTATTTGAAACAAAAATTGGAAAAACAAACAAAAATTAATAAAAAATCAAAACCTTTCAGTTTTTTGTTTAAAATTTTTTTAAAAAATTGTTTTTAGTTAAAAAATTTGTGTTTCAATTAGTAAAAATGACCTTCTTTAATGACCTGCGCGCTTGACTCTTTAGCATCAAATTTAAGTGTCAATTCTGAAAGCTTTTTCAGCCTCAACCTTTTTCATTGTTAATTTTCTTTGAGGGACGAAAGTAATTTGGGATATTAATGTGGTTGTACTCTAAGTCTTCCGTTTGAGCTTTTTTTTAAAACTAATTGAAAAAAAAATATCGACGATCTCGTTTCGATTGTGAATAAGCAAACCTCTTTCCACGCAAGTTATTGATGAAAAGACTCAGTTATGATTGGAAGCGGGCTCACTTGGTCTTGATTTTTTTGCGAGAAGCATATTTGTGTTTCTGCATAAGATGTTACTTTGAGAAGTTTTGAAGTATGATCAATATTTTCAACCTTCTGATAAAAGCCGTAGAAATCTGTTAGCTATGTATCAAATTGAAAAATTCAGAGACAATGTTTGCAGATAAAACCGTTTCAATTGTTCAAAGACGATTGACGGATTCAATAAACTGCTGGAATGAAAGTGACGGCCTTATCTTGGCTGATTTGCTGATGTTTGAAAATATCCACGATAGCAATAGATCAGCAGCTGAAATCGATGTTGCCACGGAAGTTCTTAATTATCTTCAGTCCTTTAAGCACTCGTCTGGGAACGTCGAAGAGCTGGTTATATTACATTTGAAAAGTCAGCACTACCTGATAATCGGTCAGCTTGAATCGGCTTTCAACGCGTGCGTGATTCGCTTTGAGTTTTCTCCTCTTAAGTCAATTTCTTACCACTCTGACGATTTGGAATTTTAGGCTAATTAGTTGCGTTCAACTTTTCATCAAGCAGATGCAGTCTCACAAAGACAATTGGGCATTACCTGTTATGATCAGGCTCGTCACGGACGCAAGAACCTTAGCTTTCAGGTAAAACTTACGGGTAATGCTTAAGTTTGTTTGTTATTATATGATATATATGTTTGTTTCAACCCCAATTTCATCGAAAGCTATGAAAAAATTCCTCAGGCTCACTCCCCTCAATCTTTTGATTGTACAGCCATAATAATAATAATAAAATAAAAGAAGACTTTTAATTGCGAGTTCGGTTAGAAAAAAAGAACGTCCCTACTAATACACTACGCTGATCGCTAGTGTGAAAAACGCTCTAGTATAAAATACAATCTTATTTCACTGGAAATAAAGTCAATGATGATGCTATGGAATGCGTTGGCGGCAGGCGCTGCAATGGCAAGCTAATTGCCAAGAACAAATGTTTAGTTCATTATAGTTTGAGTTGTAATAATCCCAGAAGAATTTGACGATACGGGGTTTGACAAGTGTGAGTGGGCCGTGGAGGTTTATGCGGTCATTTATGATGTTGTATAAGCGAGGAGCCCTGTACCAGAAGTGTTGTCTCTGAACTTCCTGATTGCTGGGAGTTTGAACATCAAACTTGATATGTTGCGAGTCGTATGTTGGCTGGTGCAACGCTGGACGTGGTTATACCAGTGAAAAATTGAATCATCTTTGACGAGTTTGAGGAATGCGATAAGATCATATATTTGGAGGTTGAGTGACAATGGGAGTATGTTGAGTGATACCATTCTATCTCTAGTGTAAGTCAGAGTCAGAGTAACCCAGAATCCAACGTATGGCTCTTCGTTGAACTTGTTCAATTGTGCGGAGGTCACCCCGTGACGGCGCCCAGGCCCGAGATCCATAAGTTAATATAGGCACAACCATCGACGAGCATGTATAAGTCGATCTTGTGCGCGGTAGTGGTTAGTGGAGCAACATTTTGCTTCACTAGGTTCAGGACCCTGTTGGCTTTCGAACATGATGTGTTGATGTGTTCGTTCCACTTCAGGCAGTCATTGATGATTACTCCAAGATCTTTTTCTGATCTGACTTGCTGTAGGGGCATGCCGTAAAATTGAAGTTTGCTGGGACTGTGTTTAGAGATTGTCACAATATGGCATTTGTCAACATTGAATTCCATGCAGTTTTCTGAGCACCATTGTTGTAAATGCGATAGGTTGTTTTGCAGCATAGAAGATATACTTGATTTGTGCACGGAGAGAAGTTTTGTGTCATCTGCGAAAATGAACGGCGTCGTTACTAGTTCACTAGGCATGTCCATTACGTAGATGATGAATAGTAGTGGCCCGAGAATGGACCCCTGTGGGACTCCACTCGATACGTCCAGACTCGGTGATTTGGTGTCTTCCATTTGCACGAACTGGGTCAGCTGTGTTAGGTAGTTGCGTATTACTCCAAGAAGTTTTCCTCCAATTCCCAGTCGCTGCAGTTTATTGATAAGAATCTTATGATTGATTTTGTCGAAAGCTTTCGCAAAATCAAGATGCACTGTTTCAATTGTGCTGTCGTTTGGAATGTTCTTTTAGATGTTATCAAGGTAGCATATGAGCTGAAGAACAGGTGACCGTCCTTTAGTGAATCCGAACTGGCAGTTGTTTATTAGTTGGGATATATACGAATAGAGGGCATTAAAGATCAGCTTCTCGTTGACTTTTCATGCGATATTAAGAAGAGTAATTGGTCTGTAGTTTTGAATTTGAAGTTTCGTCTCTTTTTTGAAACTTGGATGTACAGCACCTTCTTTCCATTTTATCGGAAAACATTGCGTTTGTTTTATTTTGTAGAAAAATTGGCTCAGCGATTTGTCCAGACCCGGCATGTTTTTGAATAAGCATGGTGGGAGCCCATCCGGTCCTCGGGATTTGGTAATATCGAGGGTGGATGTTACTTTGAACTTTAGTGGCTTTTTTGCTATAATCACGATCTGTAGCTGTGGAATTTTCATAGCATCTGTTTTCTGCTTTTTTGTGGCTACTGTTTGTGATTTATTAGGCGTCCTCGAATGTTACTAATTCGAGGCTTCTTTTTACTTTTTGTTATTGCACTTTATAGAGCTGCTTTTTTCGTCTTCTCGTTTGTGTTTGCACGGTTACAATTTCCAAGCGTTATCAAAGCAGAGTACAGACTTTTCCGGGTTAACAACTTGTTTAACAGAATCAGTTGAATAATTTAATAACTTGACCAATAATATATCAAATTTCGTAGCTTCGCCAAACTTGGTCGAAAGGTAACAACTCTCATTGTAGTTTAAAATTTTCTCGGAATATTCCTTTCCAATGCAAAATTACTTAATCTAATGTGTTGCTATTATTTTTGTTTTCTTGCCTCAAATGTTTCCGCTTTGTTTAATGGGCTGAGTGGCATAATTTTGTGTTTCCAGAGGGTGGAGCTTGTCTATTTTTCGGCCTAGTTACCGCTCAGTAAACGTTTCTGATTACTAATTTAACGCCAAGTAATTGGGTTTCTCGAGGTGTTGTCTCAAATTGAAAATCATTCGTGACAAAACTTTTGTAGTTGTTTTTTTTCGACTTAGTTGCTTTCGTTCTATTTTCTGTCTGCTAGCTTGCACTGCCATGCTTGTATGATGAAGCAAGTTCCTAAAACACAGGAGAATCGGAGCAAGAATCAGTGTTTTCTGGTATATTTCAGATTGACACAGCTCCCATTAAAGAGTTTTGCTGCATGAAGTTATGTTTGAATATATTCAGATTTTTTTGCAATAAGGATTTCATGATTCGTGTATATAACAGGTGTCTCAATATTTCCTCGGAGAATAAAAATTGAACAGTGTTATTTGTGGTTTTGATGAGTTATCAAAGAACGATTCTGCTCAAGAATTTTCCTGTAACTTCCAAATTTTGTTACAGCTCATCTGTTCTGTGTTTTGTCTACTAGTGATTCTTTAATTAACTTAAACTCGGCTGAATTCATTGAGGCTTGAATTCTGTCGACGAAGTTGACACTTTCTTTGAAATTATTTTCCAACTGATAGGCTGCAGTTGTTTTTTTAGTGTCATATATGATATTCTTTCGTGATTTCTCAGTTTCGTAGGTTTCTGCTGGAACATGTCTGCTTGGTTTCCGTCTGTTTATACAAGCTAAGCTTGTGTGAAAGTAATAACTCTCCTTTTTTCCAACCTTAGTCGCAAATATAAGTGTTCATTTTGATCAATAACCAGCTATTAAGTACAGCCAATGCTAAGGATATTAACACATACTATTATATTATTCTGTAGCGTAGAGGTAGGGAAGGAGACCCGCAACAAAATAAGAGGGTTCGAACCTGGGCAGGGTCGGATGTTTTTAATGAATTTTTTCGTATATTAGTTAATATGCGTCCGCTCTATAAATTGAGGCATGTTACTTGGTAATTTCTTTTTTTTCAGATTGACTGGTACTGCTAATGCGTCACTAAGCAATTACGTAGACTCATAATTGACTTGCGTCACTTAGGAAGTTTTGTAGACTCAAAGTTTTACTCAATCAGTTTTTCCCAATAGCGTTATCGGTCATATTTTTGCTTGTGTATGCGCAAATTTTATCTTTGACTTAGTTTTGAAACTGGTTTTTACGTACTTGTCGATCCAGTTAGGAACTTTTTTTCAGAATTCGAATGCGAGAAGGTTGTCTTGTTCAACTTGCCTTATCATTGAATTCATTCAATTTATGGTCTTCTGAGATGCACTTTTGCCACGACGCAATATAATATCCGCGACTTAGCCGTCCGATGTTCATAGTTCAAATCCCGGTCGGATCCTTTCGTATTTGTTTTTTCTTTTTGTTGTTTCGGCTTGCTTTAAATGAGCTGAACCGCCTTACACTTCGTCGTTTCAAGGGCCACAACTGATAGCTATATATGTGTTGTTCTTTTAAGGGAGTTAACATTTTTTGGCTATTCGTGCATCTAAATGAGTGCTGTGGGCTATAAACCGCTTCGTTCGTTTGGTTTCAACTCTGATTAAAAGCCCGTTTTTGCTCCGACTTTCGATACGAAAGTAACGGAATATTTGTGCTCGGGGTGGGTTTTTTCCTTCAGACAAATTTCGACTTTTAACTAGCCATTTTTGACGGAATTTTTTAATATCATTCGAAAGGTATTGTTGTCTTGAGCTCAAATGTGAAAAGATATTTCACCTATGATCATTTTTTGTAAAGTTATGAGGGTTTAAATATTGCCATTTTGACCAATTTGGGACAATTAACGCGCGATATAATTCGCGCTTTTAACGCGTAAGCGGAGATTTAATCCGTCTTAGAAATCGTTCCAAATTGGTTGAACGAAGCTTATTTGCCATAATTGATTTGTTACAAGTAGCGAAATCTATCCTTTTGTACTTTATATGGCGTGTGGGGGATGATTTTTATTTTAAAAATTTCAAATTTTAGAAAAAAATTTTTTTTGATTTTATTATATATTTTTTTGTTATTACTGCTCATGAAACCTCAAAAGGCAGTCGGAACATTCAGGGCTTCGTCCTGATACGAGCAGTCTTGTTGTGTTTCTGGACATGTTGTTCTCAAATTTCAGTTGTTATTGTAACAATCCGTGATTTTGCATCCAAACTTGGCCTCTTTGCAATCATTTGTGATGGCAACTTGTATGTATGTGTAGAATACTTGTAATCATTAAGATCTGTGGTCGGAACAATCTGCGGTTCTTGCACAGCAAACGGCGAAACTTTTTTGCGTTTAAAATTTAGCTTGTGTATAATAGCTTCTCTTGTGTATAATAGCGCATTTCACCCCCTCCGACTTTAATTTTGGAACACTAACTGATAACTTCCAAGCACAATGGATTATTTCGTTTTGACCAGCTCTTGGAATCATTAAATTTGTTACTGTTTGTATTTGTTAAGGTGTGTTGATGAGAAAGTTAGTGAAGACAGCGACAAAATTTTGGAGCGCACGGCAGACTCGTTAATGAACTGTTTCCGAATCTGTTGTGCGGATACGAGATCTGATGTTAAGCACACGAAAAGGTGGGGGATGCTGCATCTGGTCAACCAACTGTTCAAAATATACTTCCGAATGAATAACACGAAACTGTGCAAACCTCTCATACGAGCAATCGAAGGCTCAAACTTGAAAAATGATTACATGAAGGCTCAGCTTGTTACTTACAAATTCTTTCTCGGAAAAATTGAACTCGTTGAAGGCAATTTCGACGCGGCTGAAGAATCGTTGACGTATGCGTTTAACAACCGCCACCCGAGCTGTTACGAGAATACTCGGAAAGTTTTGAATTATTTAGTGCCTCTTAAAATGCTCAAAGGTGTTATGCCATCGCGGTATGTGATCAGAAAATACGATTTGACAGAGTATAGGCGAATATCAGAAGCTATTAAAGTTGGAAATGTAAGACTATTACAACAACATCTAGACGATAAACAACTACGCTATGTTGCTATGGGAATATTTGTTGTTATGGAAAAATTGATTCTACTAGCGTACAGAAACTTGTTCAAAAAGATTTACAACATCATGAACCAAACTCACCAACTGAACTTGAACTTGTTTTTCGAAGCTCTGAAATTTTGTGGCCCTGACGAAGATATTGAATTTGATGAAACTGAATTTATAGTCGCAAATTTGATTGCGAAAGGATTTATAAAAGGGTATATTTCACACCAACATGCGGTTCTTGTTGTAAGTAAACAGAATCCTTTTCCAGCTCTTACATTTCTGAGGTGATATGTTTTGTTTTAAATTGATGTATTCTTCCTTCATTTTTTAAATTTAGTCTTAGCTTCAAAAAGTAGGCTATTATTATTACAAAGCGAGCATGATCAGCATGCAAAGATGAATATAAAAGTTATGAACAGTTTTATAAAATATGAACTTTTTTTTATGAATTAATGCCGTTTAATCGAGCATAACAATGAAAGTTTTATATACATGTAAAAACTAAACTATGATTTGTCCGATTGAATAAAGTGCGAAAAACTGTTCACAGATTTTCTCTTGCGACAGACGCCATTACTCAAAACAATTACTTTGTCAATAATTGAAGTGTCCGTTTGGATGTAGTGCAAAGATACGGTGTACGAATTTTTCTCTTGTGACTACATTGCAAAAATATGACGAAAAGTTATGTTTTTTTTTGTTAGTATGGCTAATTCTCAAATAATTTTTTCTATTGAACTGATCGTTGAAAACACGATTAAACCACTAACTTTAAATATCAGAAACACGTCTTGTAAAAATGGCTGAAGTATCGAGTAATAAGAATGATTCTGATTGTGCAGACGGTTCGGAGCTGAAAGGAGTTCTCTCGCGCCGACAGCAGATAAATGACGGAGAGAGGGCGCCAGAAAATAAAGTGAAGGTAAGAATAAAGACCGAGAAGATAATATTTAACCTCAGGTTTGATCAAAGATGTCTAAATACTTCTAAGATAAGATAGTTCTCGATTTCTTTCTTTTTCAGAATTTTTCTCGATACTCATAAAATAAACTTCAGACGGTTAATTGATTGGGTGCTGCGAACAAATCAACTATCTACTTGTTTTTTCTGATGTCTTTTTGTAGCGGGTTACCATTTTTGCTTGGGAGGAGATTGCTCAATTGATCCCTCGACCGAACAGCGTAAAAGCCCTGAGAGGGGAATATTGAAGTTGATAAGTTGACTTCTAGGGCTCAGAAATTGTCCTCAAATAACTCTAATGTTTTTAACCTTTGCGATAAGCAAGGACGTGGCGATCTTCTACTAGACTTTTTTCCCGTAAACAACTTGTTGACAGGATGACTAAAATTTTTCATCTCCATGTGTTCTCATTTCTGCAAATTGAACGCTGGTTCTATTTTACCTTGCAATTTGAAAAGCTGTTGTCAGTGCAAAAATTCGAATAATCGGGCTATCGTTTGTTAGCTGCAATTAATCAGCTCAAACTCCTTGTTTTTGAATTTTATTCTGGCTTGAGCAATTTACGTAACAATTGAAACCCGTTCTGTTATATCTGAATTTACTAACTGCGACTTTGAATACGACCTTTTTTCCGGCTCATGTTAGGTTGTTTTAGTTACCTTATAATGTGCCATTTGAAGAGTAAAAAACTTGTCTTTGTTAAATTTTTCAAAAGGATTGGATGAAACCTATTGAAAAATTTTGTTTCAGTTGTTTTTTATGCAAAATCCAGCATCAATAAAAAAACATAGATTAAAAAAGTCAGCCGTGTATCAAAATATTTTGCTTTGAGTATTATTGCTTCACATCATTCGTTGGCGGTAATGTTTTTCTTCATCGGGAAAAACCTAATTTGTTGATTTATGAACCGCTTTGTGATGTTTTTATTTTCATAACTGAGACGAGGCCATTTTATTTTCTGTAATTTTGTGGTCGAAAAGCAATTTTAGGTAAAGCACAAAGTAAAAACGAGGATAGTCGGTTACTGTGCAAATAGCACAGAATGTTCCGACATTGTTTTAAAAAAGTATATAAAAACAGTTTTTTCAAATAAGTGCAGTTTTTTCTGTGTGATGTGATGAAAAGATCTGAACGATGAAAAAGAAAATAGGCATAATCGACAGTTATAGTCAACTAAGCCACTTGGAAAAGACTAGAAAAACAAAAGAAAAAAAAATTAGAGATTTTTTTTCATATTTAAAAACATTTTTTTTGCAGAACTTTTTTTTGTTGAATTTTTGAAGTTTTGATTCACAAAATGGCGCTTAAAACTTCAAGAACTCACTTTACTCGATTAACTAAGTTTTCAAGGCCTTGAATGAATGTTTTCAATTTTGTTTGAATCACGGCTGAAAGGGCTTTAATATGATATATCACTCGACCCATTCCCATGATTATTCGTGGTACATGCTTTTGCGTGGAATACAAAAAAAAAGAAAAAAACTAAAACACACCCGAATACAAAGTTCTTCAGCAATTTTCCAGTAGTCCGAAGAACAATTCATAGTTTAGTCGAGACGTTCGAAAAACGGTCTAGCTCAGCGCGGTCGACAAAATCATCATCGAGTCATTTGAAACATCAATCAAGAACATCCAAATAGGGGAAAATCAAAGAAAGATAAATCTTGAGCACTCAGTTTAACAGCGATGCTTGGGAATCAAGTCATGATTCCGTCGAGGCATTCCTTATTTTGGCCCAGTCATTCGAAAAATAGCTGAAGTGACGAAAGCATAATCGATAAGTTTTGTAATTTTTTCAGTATTGTAATGCTTTTGTAGTTCTTTCAACATGAATTGAAAGTTAAAATATGTTCCAGAAAACGCAAAATTTCAAATCATCATTGACAATTATTGCAAACCCGGCTGGCTAATAAAAATTTGCATTACTGTTTTATGCAACAAACTTTTTAAGACCGTGAGTGTTCAATTAATGTCCAATATTTTCTTTTTTTTTGATGCACCTCAAGTTTTTAAGGCAACCTTTCCATTTTGACACATACTCCATACTCTAAAAATCGCTAAAATTGACGAGTATATATACGGCCCCCGACAAGGCAAACACAAGCAGTGTAATTTTTTTTTGTACAGCGCTTTTCAAGGAATAATTTTGAAACATGATTGAAATGAGCCGTCGGCGTTGAAACATGCGCAACTTGCTAGAGACGGTCTAATCTGTAACTTTTAGTCTTAAAAGTCACCATGGGTCGATCACGTCGACCCGGTGTAATTTGTCACCAATCATCAATGAACAAGACTAAAAAGCTTTATTTTAACAGAGAATAAACAATTAGGAGCCCAGTTTTTAATCAGGGGTTTCTCACCTGCAAAAAAGCAGAAGTATTGGAACCAATAGAAAGTTTATATAGTTTTTCCCTATTTTTTTTTACATTATTGGGATATACTTTGCTATTTATTCGAGCAGCAATCGCCTATTCTTTCCAACCGCATCTCAAATTTAGTACAAACGAAGTTAATTACAGTGCTCTTAACCGAATGTTCGTTACATCGTGAAATGTTACCCAGTGATATTAATGCAGGTGAAGAAATCATCGATCAGTATTTACCTGGACAATGCGGACATGGATAAGACCACGATAGACCAGATCAAGCTCAAGTTCGAAGAATATGACCTGGATAAGAATGGGGTGATCGATGAGAATGAATTGACCCTTCTGTTCGAGAAACTGGGGGTTCCCAAGTAAGTAGCAGAATCGGCGACGGGAAATGGGGGGGTATATTGATTCATTAATGTGTATAATGGTGATTCGATAAAATAGATTAAGATTTATCCTTTTGAGTGCATCGGGGTAATTTTTTAACAGACAGCAGAATTGATTGTAATCAGCATAAACCTCAAATGTCCGCGATCTGTGATCGCCGTTGACGCTGTCCCAGGTGTACTTGTTTGCTTATACTTGGAAACGAATTTATTTATAGTTGCTTGAGGGTGAAAAAAAACGAGCAGAAAAAAATTTGACCGCTGAAAAGTTAAATGCAGTCATTGCACGTAATTGATTGCATGCGATAGCAGCTCTCTTAAGGAATTGAACTACAGCTAGTATTTTGTTTTTTAAAATTTGAAAGATGATTAGTCTGTAGCATAATGAGAAGGGGCGGATTTAGGGAAGGGTGATTCGACCCCCTGCCGACCCAAAGGGTCACCCCTTTGTACTATTTTGAGATATCCATATTTGGAGACGGACTCTAAAAATTTTCTTAAGGCGCCATGGGCGCCAATATATACTCATTTTGAGCGGGGAGCCAAAATTTTCCAAAAAGTGCCTAAAAATGCCTTTTTTGGCCTGTTTTTCAAAATTTTGCGATCTCTTCAACTATATCCCATCTAGGGTACCTAGTAACGAATATCCCCCCTATAAGAAATTAAATCTCTGGTTAAGCATATGAGAATTTTAAACCTAGTAACGAATCTCCCCCCCGCCCTCCTTGCAAAAGGGGATATAAGAGATCCGTTTTTGTTTAGTAATCTACTCTCAGTTCGCAACCTCATCGCACAAGTTGACCAGGACGGTGACTCGTGTTTGAACATCGACGAGTTCATTTCCATCTTCCGAAAAGTCGCCTCCGAGAAGCTGGACGAGACCTCAGCCCTCCTTCAGTTTGTGCGAATGACCGAAATTGACGTGTCCCAATCAGGGGTGAAAGGGGCACGTGACTTCTTCGAGGTCAAGATCAAAGAGAGCGGTGACAGTGGGTTGTCAAGAATTATGGAAGAGGAAAGGATAAGAAAACAGAACGAAGAAGAGGAAAGGAAACGAAGAAAAGCAGAAATGGTCAGGAAAATTTCAGCTTTTGAAGAAACTTCATAACTAAAAAAACTTGCAATGAAAACAATTTTCATAGCTTTCTAGTTGGGCTCTTCAGCCGCTTTCTCCACCAAAAAAAAACACCCCTCAGAAATAAAAATCGGTTTTGTCATTGATTTCACGAATTTCAATTTGAAGACAAAATGTTTTAAAAATTGAGTAATGAACTCATATGCCTACTTTCATGACAGTTGGACAACGAGAACAAACATTTCAAAATCTTATGAAAAAACTACAGGTGGTGATTAATTGAGTCAAAAACTGGGGAAAAATGCAGGTCTAGAAGTGTCACTATTTTTCTCTGCTGTTCATTTGATTATGTCATGCTCTGAGCAACGTGAACAAATTTAGAGACAGGTGTAAGTTTCAGAAGTTGCTTCCATTTTGATCACATGTTCAAGATGTTTTTTCACTTTATTTTGATTTGTATGGCACAAATTTTGAAAAAGTTAAATGAATTATGGTGAAGAAGTCAATAAATTATTTGTAAACTCTTTTTTTTACAGACTTTTGTAAAGACTTTTTTAAACAGTGTCTAGTCGGAGTTTCGTTTTTGCCGTATATTGTTATTTTAAGAGGTTTTAAACAGTCTGTTCAAACTGCGCAATGATTGTCCTGTCTCCTGTGAAGTATAAGCAAAAAGCTCTGTTTTTTAAGTGAAATTAAAACTGGTCAAATTAATAAAACTATGGTCAAATTTATGTCAAACCAACACTCATGCAAGTTTAAGGTGATCAAGACCATCATTTAAATGGCATTGCCATCAACTGTAATAAAAAACAGACCAAATTCAATCATCGTGTATATATGACGTCAACAACCCATAAAAGATGTCTGGCTTTTTCAGGACCCATCTTTCGGCTCTCATAATGCCAAGTATAAACCCGATCCGTGGTTTTTGAAAAGGCACAAAAGTTGAGATTCCAGTTTCCGGATTGAGTTTCTGCCGCTTTCCGATTACAACAGAAGCCCCTAGACTCTTATCGCTTGCACGAAAACCTAATTGTCGGGGTTATTTTGGAAAAACTACTATGTTTATTGCCTCTTTTTGCCATGATTAATTGCAACTCAAAAACCTCTGAACACTTGTCAAAAAATTCATTTTTTGTTCTGACTACAGGATGCCATGAAATTTTTATTGAACTATCGAGATTTCAGGCTGCGAAATAATTTCAAATGCGAAATGATTTCAAATGCAAAAATAGACAAGACTGATCGTATCAGGGCGAAGCCCTGAATTTTCCGACTGCCTTTAAGATTTATGGAGCAGCAATTACATGACAACATTTGAATGTAATAAAACAAAACTAAAAAAAGTTTTGAGATTTTTTTTTGCGAAAATCATCCCCCACACGCCATATAAAGAACGAAATGATAAATTTCCCTCCTAGTAACAAATTAATAATGGCATATACGCTTCCTTCAACCAATTTGAAACGATTTTTAAGACGGATTAAATCTCCGTTAATAGCGCGAAATATTTCCGCTTACGCGTTACTTGTCCCAAATTGGCCAAAATGGCAATCTTTAAACCCCCATAACTTGACAAAAAATGATCACAGGTAAAATATGTTATCAAATTTAAGCTCAGGACAACAGTAGCTCTCAAATGGTTTTTAAAAATTCCGTCAAAAATGGCTAGTTAAAAAGTCGAAATTTGTCTGATGAAAAAAAACCACCAACCACAAATATTCCGTTACATTCGTTAGGAAAGTCGGAACAAAAAGATGGCTCGGAACAGAGTAAAATGTTGATTAGTTGACTGTCCTTTTTGTCTATGGATAATTTTTCTATGAAATGTTTATAGAAAATTAATAAAGTTTCAGCTTTTTTTAAAAAAATTTTCCCATATCTTAAGAAAAAATTAATTTTTTACGGTCAAATAATAGATTAAAAAATAAAATGCGGAAATATAAATTTTAAATGAATAAGGTACGTTTTTCATCGCTTATTGTTCTATCTGTAACATTAACATTGAAAATGACATCAACACATTATGTCAAAATGAGTTGTTCGAAGTACAAAATTATGTAAAAACCTCAGATACGAGTGCAAAAAACGCCACAAAAAGGTGTGACGTGTCCTACTTTGTTTAAAAACGGCAAGAAAACTCTCTAGTTTTTCAAATTTAAATGCTCTGAAACTATTAATTTCTGCATTCATTCACATGCTTCCAATTTGAGAGAAACAAGATAGAGGGCTAGCATCTTCAATGGGTTACCAACATCGTTCAGATGTTCTTTGAGTCAACTGCGTGTTTAGGTATTCCGAGCCTTTTATGGGGCCTAAATTGGTATATTAAAAAAACTTGATGTCCCTGAATCCCTTTTAGATCGGACTACCAACCCATTTATAGGTCTCGGAATCCTGAAGTACGAATACCTTTAGTTTTTGTTAGTGGCTTAAAGCAGTTACTTCAAGAAACTTGATCTTCCTGCACCATATTTAGATCGTGTTACCAAACCATGTAAAGGTCTCGGCTTGCCTGAAAAACGCGATTGTAATTAAACAACATTGAATAAAGTGGCTTATTCAATGAAATAGCTAACTCTTCTAATTGAGTAAGCAACCCCATCTAAAGATTTCGAAATAACTAAAATAAGCTGTTAACTTCAAAAACCGGGTTCGCTACGTCCGTTATCAAAAGCAATTGCGTATTTTAGGAGTTATCACTTTAAAATGGACCTTAATTGACCTTTAAACGAGGTTGCTAACTGTATTCAAATGCAAAATAGTTCAAAAGTTCTTAAAATAACCAAGTGCTTCAAGTATTTCACAACCTTCTCAGGCCCTTAAACCGTTGCTTCAAAAAACTGGATGTCATTGAACCACATTTAGAGCTGGTTAGCATTCCAATCAATTAGCGGAAATTTGAATGTAACAAAATCAATTTCTTGAGGTAATTGGTTACTTCATGTATTTCGAGCCCTTTGTATGGGGAGTTAGCCCATTTCATGTAAGTTGCCTGAAACATTATTTCCATAAAACGGAAGTAATACGGAAAAAACCAACGGTTTTTAAAAGTAAAAGAGTATTTCGATGTTCCGAGAATTATATGGGGTCGCTCACCCGAAATGGTAGCGGCCGAAAACACCTTGTAAGCCGTCCCTGAACTTCATCTAGATCCAATGTTAGGCCACAACTTGATTATGGCGGTAGCCGAAAACAGTAAAATTCATATAAAGAACTAGGAATACTTGAAATACAGACAAAGTTATTTAATTCTAGTGGTCTAAAACGGTAGCTTCAAGAAGTTGATTTCTGTGAACTAGCAAAACCCATTCTAAGGGCTCGGACTTACCGAAACACGTGATTACCTTGAAAATTGTTGAAAAAATATGCTAATCCAATGAAGTTGTTTAAATTTTGCATTGGGTTAGCAACACCATGCAAAGGTCCGAGAATACCTGAATTAGGCTGTTACCTTCCGAAACCGGAACCGCGGAGCCCATTTTTTAAAGTAATCGCGTATTTTAGGGGTAACCGCTTTTTTCATGAAAAAAATTTCTAATTCAATGAAGTTGTTAAAATTTTGCATTGGGTTAGCAACACCATGCAAAGGTCCGAGAATACCTGAATTAGGCTCTTACCTTCCGAAACCGGAATCGCGGAGCCCATTTTTTAAAGTATTCGCGTATTTTAGGGGTAACCGCTTTTTTAATGCGTTCAGAGAATGCAGGATTGGTGATCCGAATACTTTTTTGGCAAACTAAAATTTCAGCCGAGAAATTTTTAATTTGGCATTTGTATGCAGGAAGATGAAAGCTAATAAGTAGTGCGTAGCTCGGTATTGAGTAATCAAAACGATTAATATAGAAGCAAACAAATGACAAATCCTGAAACTGTTCGAGCAATTCAAGAAATAGTCCCTTCTGTGCAACAATTTTCAAGTGAAGTAAGACTGGTCTATACCCCTAAATGTGAACCAACAAAGCTATTTTTATGAAACTCATAGAACAGCAAACAGAGATGAATCGATGTTTTGATACGGGCATGAACAAATTCAGACTAATTCGACCCCCATGGATTAAGTGATAATAACTCCGGGAAGTGTAATTCGCCCTCCTAGAAGTCAGGATCTTACAGTTGAAATGTGATAAAAAGTTATTTTTCATACACTTAGTTGAGGGAGCTTACGTTCAGAACCCCAGACTCTAGATTCTACTTCCGGTGTTATGCTCTATGTGGATAGTTCCCACCTTGACTTCCAGATGTCATTACTCGTCCCCAATTGAACGCAGAGAGCTGAAAATTTGAGATAAGCTAGGTAGACAACATAAACCATGTACTGCAATTTGAGCAAATCCGACGGTGAGACTGGAAATTCTTTAGACGGTTGGACTGTAAACTTGGGAAAAAGACCCATTTTACCGGAAAAAGGCTATTTAGGCAAAATAAAGAGCAAGGACATGTTGACTTTATGCCGGCAATAGACACAAAACAACAACTCAAAAAAAACTTTCGTGCAAAACAAACCCCTCCGCAAATTTTGTCTGCTTTTATAGCCCTTTAATTGAAAAAATGATAAGAGATTTTTGGAAAGGGACAACTGGGGTTGTTCTAATGGGATATAGATGAAAGAAAGGTAGGACTACCATAGAATTCTTACTACAAAAAAAAATGATTGACCCTGGTTGACACCCGAGTGACCTTTGAAAGACTTTGTGGATTTTGGGCACTAAACTGCATAGCAAACCGCAGGACTCAGAAGCTAAAGGGATATAGCTTTTACATTGCTCCATTGAAATAGTGGGTTGAACGTACAGTGCAAGCGGGCAGATGTTGGGTTGAGCTTTGCTATGATAGTTAATAGCAAATCAACTAGAGTAAAAAAAGTAGTTGAAAGTTAATAGCAAATCGGCTAAACTAAAAAAGTAGCCCCTAGGGAAATCTGGCAGTTTTATAAGTGTGGCTCGGTTATTAGGTCTCCACTTTATAATATGATTGTTTGGGATATTTACTTTGGGAGATTGTTTGGGATATTTACTCCCCATGGATAACTTTTTGGAGCAATCAAACCACTAAAAGACAGCTAGAAAGTCGAGCTAAAAAGTTCAGAGTGGAAGTTTAAAATTTTAGCGAGCGGTATTTATACATTCAGAAGAAATCCGCGTAAAAATTGGAGGCCGGAACACTAACGGCATAATTACAAAAAATTCTTGAGAATTTTGATACGTAAACACATTTTGGTTTTGAGATGAAATTGGACCTTAAGTTTGCAAAGATCTGTTAAATATATTCCCATTGAATTTGGCATTCATAACTAACGTTTTGGAGGGAAAACTTCTACTTGGATTTGTACCAGAGTGTATGTCAGAAGTTATAGGAAATATCATAACTATACCCATAACTAAAATTCAAACATAGCGAAAACATAACGGGTAGTCTACCCTTAAGAAGAAAAACTGCGCCGTGGGGAAAGCTTGGTTCTGGTTGTAAAATCTGAGAAATTCCAATTCTTACAGCTAGTGAAAAATTAGAGAAG